ACTATTGTTAGACTTCATAGATGAGTCTGAGATAATTAACAATGAGAAGGAAGAGCTGTCTAGGGAGTGTGTGATCTTAAAAGCCAAGTGCAAAAATCTAGAATCTAGGGCTAATGAGAGTGACAATAAAAATGCTGAGTTAAAGAACCATGTTCTTGAACTTGATAACAGTGTCCTAGAAATTAGGTCTGAAAATTTAAAACTAAAATTAGGAACAGGTAAGAAGAAAGCTGATCACACGCATCTCACCTTAGAAGAAAACCTTGGAAAAATAAGGGATGAGTTGTATAGGAAGGATGAGAAGATAAGAGTCTTAAAAGAAGACATAGGGAAGGTAAAGAATGAACAAGACAGAACTTGCAAATTGAATAAGGCTTCTGATGCACTTTCCTGGCTACAAGAACATCACAGTAGCAACAAGAGAGGACTTGGCTATGGGACTCAAGCACCTACGTGGGACCCTAAAATCAAGTACCTCACTCTTCTTGAAAACAAAATTTGCACACATTGTGGCAAGAATGGCCATTACAAAAATGAATGTAATGCAAAAGATAAGGCCAGTCAAAAGAAAAAAGCCTTTGTTCAAGAGAAAAACAGGCTGTCTGGGTGGGCTAAAAGGAATTTGATTTACCCCTTTTCCTATAGAAAGGGACCCAAACTAGTTTGGGTTCCTAAGACTAACCCCTGATTTCTTTTTGCAGGTCCAAGTGAAGGGAAGTAGCCAAATATGGTACATGGATAGTGGCTGCTCAAAACATATGACTGGAAGCAAGAACTAGTTCCTTTCACTTAAGGACTTAAAAGGAGGTAATGTCTCATTTGGAAATGGGAAGAAATGTGAGATTATTGGGGTTGGAAAGGTAGGCAAGACAGACTCACACTCCATTGAGAATGTCTACTTGATAGATGGCTTGAAATATAGCCTAATCAGTGTATCACAACTGTGTGACAGAGGTAACATTGTAGCATTCACCTCTAGCAAATGCTTTATGATTAACCTTAACACTAACAAGATTGTTTTGCAGGGAAAAAGAGTTAACAATAGTTACATTGTAGTTTTGTCTACTCTTTTAGAAAATGAACTCACTTGCTTAAGTGTGTTGGATAATGATCCCCTCCTGTGGCACAAAAGACTTGGTCATGCAAGTCTGGATCAACTCAACAAATTTGTCTCCAAGGACTTGGTGATAGGGCTACCTAACATCAAGTTCAAGGAAGACAAAGTTTGTGAGGCCTGTGTAAGGGGGAAGCAGGTAAGATCATCCTTTAAAAGCAAGAAAATGGTAAGCACAACCAGGACGTTGGAACTGGTTCATATGGATCTTTGTTGTCCAGTGAGAACATTGAGCAGAGGTGGTAAGAAATATGTGATGGTACTTGTTGATGATTATTCTAGGTTCACCTGGGTACTATTCTTAACATCTAAAGATGAAGCATTTGACATATTTACTGCTTTTGTTAGAAAGACTCAAAAACAACTAGGAAATCAACTTGCATCCATTAGGTCTAATCATGGAACTGAATTTGAAAATGCTAAGTTTGCTGAATTTTGTGATTAGAATGGTATAGATCATAACTTCTCTGCCCCTAGCATTCCTCAAAAAAATGGAGTAGTCTAAATAAAGAATATGACTCTTGAAGATATGGCTAGGACTATGTTTCTTTCTAATAAACTTTCCTACAAATTCTGGGTAGAGGCTGTAAACAATGCATGTTATATCGTCAATAGATGCATGACTAGAACTCTTGTAGAGAAGACTCCGTATGAGTTACTTAAAGGGAGAACACCAAATATATTCCATCTTAGGGCATTTGGATGCAAATTCTTTATGCACAATAATGGAAAAGACTCCCTAGGTAAGTTTGATCCCAGAAGTGATGAGGGAATATTCTTGGGATATTCTTCACATAGTAAAGCATATAAAGTTTTCAATAAAAGAACTTTGTGTGTATAAGAAAGTGTGCATGTAGTGCTTGATGAAACTAACATTCTTTCTGAGAGACAAGAACATGAAGATGAAGCTATTGGGCTGGTAAAAGATTTGAGTGAAGTCTCAGCACAAGCTAAAGTGGAACCAAAAGAAGGAATAGGTGATGGAATAGGTTCTTCCATTAAGGGCAACCTGACAGTGGGAACTGATCAAAGAAGAACTGAAACCAATCCTCTAAAAGAACCTGTTCATGACCCTGTTCCTCAGTAACAAAACATGGGAGAAATATCTAGCAGAATTAGTTGGTTGTGAAACCTCACAAGTATCAAAGTTCTCATCCTATTAAGAACATAATTACTAATCCAACCTCTAGAGTCAAAACTAGATCACAATTAAAGAATCTGTGTGCTTTTGATGTTTTCCTATCTCTTATTGAACCTAAAAATATTGTTGAGGCTTTGTAGGATGGAGACTGGGTAAATTCAATGCAAGATGAACTCAATCAGTTCGAGAGAAATCAAGTTTAGCATCTAGTTCCAAGAACCAAGGACAGATCAGTTATTGGCACAAAATGGGTCTTCAAAAATAAACTTGATAAAGATGGAGCAGTTACAAGAAACAAGGCAAGACTGGTGGTCCAAGGTTACAACCAAGAGGAGGGTATAGATTATGATGAGACTTTTGCTCCTATTGCAAGACTAGAGGCAATAAGACTCCTCATAGCCTTTGTATCACCCATGGAATTCACTCTTCATTAGATTGATGTCAAAAGTGCCTTCCTAAATGGCTACCTAAAAGAAGAAGTGTTTGTGAAACAAACTCTAGGGTTTGAGAGCAAGGAATGTCCTGAGCATGTGTACAAATTAGACAAGTCTCTCTATGGACTCAAGTAGGCTCCTAGAGAATGGTATGAATGATTGTCCAAATTCCTGCTTGAACATGGCTACAAAAGAGGTATAATTGACAGTACTCTATTCTTGAGGGAAAAGGTAAGGATATTCTTGTGGTACAAATATATGTTGATGACATAATATTTGGGGCCACCACTGACAAACTAAATAAGGATTTTGCCAAATTAATGGGGAGTGAGTTTGAAATGAGTATGATGGGTGAGTTTACTTTTTCTTAGGCTTACAAATCAAGCAAATACTAAATGGAAGCATGATCCATCAGCAAAAATATGGAAAAGAGCTGATCAAAAAGTTTAAAATGGATGAATCAAAGGAAATAGACACCCGTATTGCAACTGCCACTAAATTAGACATAGATGAACATGGTTCATCTGTTGATCAGAAGTTGTATAGGGGTATGATTGGTTCACTTTTGTATCTTATTGCCAGCAGACCTTACAGAGTTTTCAGTGTAGGGCTTTGTGCTCGCTTTAGGCTAATCCAAAAGAGTCTCACTTGACTGTTGTCAAGAGGATACTGAGATATTTGAAAGGCACTACTGATATGTGTCTTTGGTACCCTAAAGGTAGTAATTTCAATCTAGTAGGGTATGCTGATGCTGATTATACAAGTTTCCTTGTGGATAGGAAAAGCAACTTAGGTATGGCTCATTTTCTTGGTTCATGTCTTGTATCATGGGCCACTAAAAAGCAAAATTCAGTGGCCTTATCTACTACTGAGGCTGAATATGTTGTCGCTGCCTCTTGTTGTGCTCAATTGCTATGGATCAAACAATAGCTGGTAGATTTTGGCATTGAAGTTGGTTGCATTCCTATATTCTGTGATAACACTAGTGCTATAAGTATGACACAGACCCTTGTTCATCATAAGAGGACTAAGCACATAGATGTTAGACACCACTTCTTAAGATATAACTATCAGAAAGGATTGATCTCCATAGAATTATGTGATACTGATAAACAAATTACTGACATCTTCACTAAAGCACTTAGTAGAGAAAACTTTGAGAGGAACATTTTGTAATTAAGGATGATTAAGATCAGCTAATAAGTCCAGATCAGTATGCACAATGAAAAAAAATGATTTTTTTTGGCTAGGAACTCTAAACTTGTGTAAATATCTAGATTAATTCTTACTTAGCTTCATACTTTAATTAGTATACTCCTGTGACATGTGTTAATATGACTCACTGATATCTTACAAAATTTTCTCTATTATGGTAAATTGAGGCATGCTCAAGAGAATTCTAAATGAAGAACCTAGTTCATCAGTATGGGTTCATCTGAAAGCTAATGTATGTTTTCTATACTCTGCATAATTTGAAATATAAATATTTAAATCATGAGTAAAAGTCCTACAATTTTTCAATTCCTAGAAAATTCTATCTGTTAGCTTTGAACCAATTTCGTCTGCCTGAGACTCTAAATCGAAAAATTGCCTAAAATCTAGGGATGATAAACCGATTATTCAAACCTTAAATTTCAGGTTGATTAGACCTCTAATTAACCACTGCTAAAGTTGCCGTTACCAATTAAATGTGTATTTCTCTTTAAATACACATCATTTCTTCTGCCATCTCCATAATTCCAAATCGTCAAAATCCCTCTTCACTTTCACTTGCCCTCTTGTCCAAAATTCTAATTCACAAATTCTCTTAAGAAACGAACGATCATGACCAACCCACCTGACAATCCAAGAACTCCTCCACCACCTACTCCCTCTAATTCATCTACACCTCCTCCACCTAGTACATCACCCAAACCCAGGCTGAGAAGGGTGAAAATGCTTGCTCGAAAAACAGTAGCATCTGATTCTCTGAGGAAGAAATTAAACGAGAAGTTGAAGGCAAGCCAGACCCAAAACTCTGACTCCAAATCTGATTCTAAATCATATATATCCGCTACTGAGGGGGAAGGACATTGGTCTTTTGACTCTGAAAAGACTCAAGAATCCCCTTCTAAGGTAATTTCTTCTGTGTTTGAAAATCTAGAAACTGTTTGTTCTGATTGGGTTTGTTAAGAATGTAGAATTACTAGGGTCACGAAGGAGTGGAGGTAAAAAGAATTCTGAAAAAGAAAAAGAGAGAGAGGGTGCATGTGGTAAAGAGGGGGGAAATGGGAAAAGAGTGGTTGATCATTCACCCACTGCTAATTTGCATATGCCTGCTATCTGTGGGGTTGAACAAGAAAGGGTAGAAGAGAGTGGAAAGAAGTCAGGGGGAAGTAATTCTGGGGAAGCTGCTGATAGGTTGGTTAATATGAGCACACAGGGAGATGAACATGGTTCATCTACTGAAGAGACCCTAGCAGACCTGCTGAAAAAGGTTGGTGCAAGCTATGACCCAAAGAAATGCAGAACTCCCACACTAAACGCCCCCAGTGTTCCTAAGCCCTCCAAGAAAAGAAAGGCTTCATCCCCAACAACTACTGAATTTTCATTGCCAAAGGGTAGAACTACAAGAAGCAGGGTGAAACAGAGTGAGAGTGATCTCCAGAAAGCTATAGCTGAGAGTAAGAAGAAAAAGCTGGCTAAAGAAAAATGGAAGGTTACAGAGTCCTCAGAGGATGTGGAGGTTGAGGAGATGGAACAAGTCCATCAGGAGGAAGTTCAACCAGTGGAGGTTCAGACCCCGAAGCCCAAAAAGCCCAAGACTTCTTCCAAGAAGTCTTCCTCTGTGTCTAAGGTTGCCAAACCTTCACTAGACAAGAGGACAAGGTCTGTTGTGAAAGGAAAACAAGTGAAAATTTCTGAAGATGAGGAATGGAGTGGAGAAGAAGTAGAAGATGATAGTGAACAGGACAAGCTTGCCATGTTTGGCAAAAAAAAGATCTTGAAGGGTAGACTGCTGAAAGACCTGGTGGAGCCAAGAATAATGAGACTTGTGGATGCCTTCTTTGCTCAGGGGTGAAAGGATATGGTCCTTCAAATGGATGGTAGGCTATCCAAGAATGAGATAATAGAGTTTATGGCAAATGGAAAGGTTCAGGATGGCAAGGTTAGCAGCCTGGTGAAAGGGGTTCAAGTGTCCTTTGATGCAGAAAAACTTGGAGAATTCCTTGATATACCCTCTGAAGGTTTTGATGATTATACAAGGCAAAGTTAGCCTTGTCTAGACTCCCTTCCTACTGCCCTTGAAATTACCAGGTGGTTTTGTGATGCTGAGGATGTGAATGAAGCCAAGGCTGTTCAGAAGAGTGAAATGAGGCCTCAGCACAAGGTCTTGTTTGAATTTGTTAATAAGTGCCTACTGCCCAGATAGGAGAGAAGGCACATTGCCAATTATATGGACCTTGTTCTTATGGAGTGCCTGGAAAGTGGAAGGAAAATTAATTGGCCTGCCTTCATCATCAAGCTGCTGCCAACAATGGATTCAAGGCTCATGCTACCCCCTATGGCTTTATTCTTACCACGGTTCTGGATAGGTTCAATGTGCCTCTAAAGAAATGGGAAATGGCCTCAAGCAAGGATCATTTTGCCATTAACACTCTGATTACTTGTGACTACTTAGTTAGTGCCATCCCAAATGAACTTGGTTCATCCAAGAAGACTCCTATCAACAGCAAAGTCAGGGCTCTGGTCCAGGAATGTGAAGCCAAGGATGGTGAGATAGCCGCGCTCAAGGCTCGTGTGGCAGAGGTGGAATCTGAGAGGGATGCTCTCAGAACTGAGCTTACCAAAATAAGAGGATAAGAATGATGGAATTCTTCATAATATGCTGAATCTTCTCCAAGCCCAAAACCAACCCTCTAGCTCCTCCAAACCTTAGGAATCATAGCTTTTGTCTTCTGAACCTGTCTAGTACCTTCAGTGACCCAGATTAGGGATTTTTCTATCTTTTTGCTCATGTTTTAAATGTTTTTTCTTTCTAGTTGTGGATTGTGATGACAACATATCTCTATCAACGATATCTATTGTTTTGCTCTTGTTCAATGTTAATCTTTCCTTTATAGTGTAAATATGTTTGCTTGATTACTTATGATTAGGCCATGATTGCACTTACAGTTGCCCCAGTGGCCATGAGTACTTATTAAAATCTGGGACTCACACTTTGTATGCAACTTTTCGATGATGCCAAAAGGGGGAAGAGATACTGTGCTTTACACATTCTGAATAAGTGATATTTATAATCTAATTAACTCAGTCCTTGATGATAAGTGAATTTTATAAACTTTGTATTGATGGTTAAGCTGAGTTCTTATAGGATCCAAATAAGTAAAAAGCACAGAGTTTGTTATCATCAAAAATGGGGAATTTGTTGGCCCAAGAACAGGTGAAGTTTTGAAGATTGACAAAAGAACTCAGACATGGACTAGGTCCATCTTCTGAAGCAGAGTCATGATCAATCTGTATATGTGAGATGCACATGAAGGAGATAAGTCTAACTGATAAAGCAACAATATCTCATGATCTGATCGAAAAGGTTGCATATTGGATAAGGAAAGAAAGACTCCTCACATGAAGAGGACACAGTTTAGGATGAAGATAATGTTAGAGTTTGAGATCATCATGAACTCTTCTACGATAGAAGAGTAGCAATTCAATCCCAGTCAAACTCGGATTAGTAACCTATTAAATGTCAGTGTTGTTCTCTTTTACAGGTAACGCACATAAGCAGAAGTTAAACTTAAACTAAGAGCAAAAGAGCAAGACGATTTTGCAAGCAATTTATGTGTAATTTGAGTGTGCAATCCTGAAGCTACTTGAACGAGATAGAAGAACCAGTTCCATGTGTCCATCTTTTATTGTAGTTCAATTGTAGTAGGTGATTTTACATTGTACCTTTCATCTTTCATAGAAGCAATTGTATTAGGTACCTAGAGTGTTCAAGTTAGAGTTAACTTGAAGTTGTCACAACAGTTGAGGCATTGTGCCGCAACGAGATTAGAGTTAATCCTTAGGTTTACAAAGAGTTTTGTAAATGCTGTTTTGGCTCAGTGATTTTAGTGGAAGTTTGGGAAAATCCTACTGAGTAGTAGGTCTTGGTTTTTTACCTTTTGAGCCAGGTGTTTTCCACATAAAAATCTCTGTGTTCTTTATTTTATGTGTTTATTATTCCGCAAGCAGTAGTAGTTGGAACACCTAGAAGAACCAGGTTCTTTTATAGATCAGATAAGCGAAAATTGGGTACCACACAAATCACCCCCCACTTGTGTGGTATTGACGCTTAAAATATCATGTCCTTCGGCTTGACTAACGCCCCAACAACGTTCATGGATTTAATGAATAGGGTGTTCTAGCCTTATATGATTCATTCGTCATTATGTTCATTGATGATATTTTGATCTACTCACTTAGCCTGGAGGAGCACGAGCAACTTTTGAGAGTGGTGCTTCAGACATTACGAGAGAAGAAGTTATATGCTACGTTCTCCAAATGTCAGTTTTGGATAGAGTCAATAACATTATTAGGGCATGTTGTATCAGGAAAAGGTATTAAGGTAAATCCTAAGAAGATTGAGGCAGTTCAGAGTGGGCCACGTCCCACTCAGGTGATAGGGATTAGGAGTTTCTTGAGGGCTAGCAGGTTATTATCGCCGGTTTGTGCAGGGCTTGTTTTCCATTGCAGTACCTTTGACTAGATTGACCCAGAAGGGTGCTCCTTTTCGTTGGTCCAATGATTGTGAGACGAGCTTTCAGAAGCTCAAGACACCTTTAACTACAGCACCAGTTCTAGTGTTGCCTTCCGGTTCGGGGATGTATACTGTGTATTGTGACACTTCACAAGTTGGTTTGAGTTGTGTATTGATGCAGGAAGGGCGAGTTATTGCATATGCTTCACGTCAGTTGAAGATTCATTAGAAGAATTACCCCGTGCATGATCTAGAGTTAGATATGATTGTTCATGCTTTTAAGATATGAAGGCATTATCTGTATGGCGTGACATGTGAGTTTTATACTGATCATCGCAGCTTACAACATTTGTTCAAGTAGAGGGATCTCAATTTGAGGCACCGTAGATGGCTTGAGTTACTAAAGGATTATGACATCACCATTCTTTATCATCCGGGCAAGGCAAATACGATCGTAGATGCCTTAATCAGGAAGGCAGAGAGTATGGGTAGCTTGGCCTTCATTTCAGCAGAGGAGAGGCCACTAGCTTTGGACATTCAGTCCTTGGCTAACAGATTTGTGAGGTTGGATATTTCTGAGCCCTGTCGAATTCTTGCATGTGTTGTTGCCCAGTCGCCACTATTATGGCAGACAACAGTTTGATGATTCGCATTTGGCAGTTCTTAGAGAGACGGTACTACAAGGTAGTGCCAAGGAGGTTTCTATTGGTGAGGATGGTATTCTGCGACTCCAGAGTCATCTATGTGTTCCTAAGGTCGATGGCTTGAGGGAGAAGATTCTCTAGGAGGCATACAGTTCACGGTATTCTATACATCTAGGTGCTACAAAGATGTATCGTGACCTGAGACAACATTATTGGTGGTAGAGAATAAAGAAAGACATAGTGGAGTATGTAGCTAGATGCCTAAATTGCCAGCAGGTCAAGTATGAGCACCAGAGGCCAAGTGGCCTGCTTCAGCAGATGACTATACCCTAGTGGAAATGGGAGCGCATCACTATGGACTTTGTAGTTGTATTGTCGCGGATCTTGTGGAAGTTTGATGCAGTTTGGGTCATTATTGATAGGTTGACCAAGTCAGCACACTTCATTCCGGTTGCAACTACCTATACTTCAGAGAAGTTGGCCCAAATTTACATGCAGAGATAGTTCGGTTGCACGGTGTGCCTCTTTCCATCATATCAGATAGAGTCCCTCAGTTCACTTCCCATTTTTAGAGGGCCGTACAGAATGAGTTAGGGACCCGTGTAGAGCTCAGCACAAAATTTCATCCTCAGACCAACAGACAATTTAGATATTGGAGGACATGCTGAGAGCATATGTGATTGACTTTGGAGGACAGTAGGATCATTTCTTGCCTTTAGCTGAGTTTGCTTACAACAACAGTTATCAGTCCAACATTGAGATGGCTCCATTTAAGAATTTATATGGCCGGTGATGTCGTTCTCCTATCGAGTGGCTTGAGCTTGGAGAGGCTAAGTTATATGGTACATATTTGGTGAAAGATGCCTTGGAAAAGGTAAAGTTGATCCAGGAGCGACTTCGCACAGCACAGTCCAGAAAGATGAGTTATGTGGATCAAAAGGCGTGGGATGTATCATTTATGTTCGGCGAAAAGGTTCTCTTGAAAGTCTCGCCGATGAAGGGTATTATAGAGGCCCATTCGAGGTGTTTAGGAGAGTTGAGGAGGTTTCTTATGAGCTTGCTTTACCTCCCAGCTTATCAGGAGTTCATCCGGTTTTTCTCGTGTCTATGCTCCGGAGTTACCATGCCGACTTGTCACATGTGTTAGACTTCAGCACTATTCAGCTAGATGAGAGCTTCAGTTATGAGGAGGAGCCAATTGCTATCTTTGATAGACAGGATCACCAGTTGATATCCAAGAGGATTTCTGTGGTAAAGATTCAGTGGAGGGGCCAACTAGTCGAGGAGGCGACCTGGGAGTCCGAGGAAGACATGCAGAGCAGATACCCACACTTAGTCAGTACTTCAGTTATGAATCTAAACCCGTTCGAGGACGAACATTTGTTTAAGAGGTTGAGAATGTAACGACCTGACTGGTCATTTTGCTTTCTAAAACCTTATTCCCCTAAATAAGACTTTCTGTAATTGCTTTTACTGATTTATGACTTGTGGGGATGGTTGGTTCGAGATTTGGAAGAGTTTGGGTTGAAATCGGAACACTTGGTTCCTTACAGTTGTTTTAAAAGGCCAAGTTTGACTTCGGTCAACATTTTGAGTAAACGACCTTGAAATCGGGATTTGAAGGTTCCAATAGGTTATGTATAATGATTTTGGGACTTCAACGTATGTACAGATCGGGTTTTGGATGACCTGGGA